AGTCTCACTAATTCAAGGAAAAAGTCAAAACTTAAAAAAGAGGTAATATCTGAGCAGCTCATTGTATCTTTAGTAAAGATTGATTAATTCTGTAAACATTTATCAGCTGCCTGTTAGGGATAACATACCTTCGAGTAATGACTTTAATATGGATTCTGCCCGTTTTTAATGAGAAAGATAAGCATGCAAGATATAGGTTACTATTATTGGGATCAACAGATGGTGTAATGGTTACATCGCTGGACTCCCACGTCAACCCTAGGGCTTGAAATGCATACTGGGCATGGGTGCGTGCATGCCCAAAATTCTAAGAGGAGAAGGAAGGAGAAGGAATTGTGATGTGGTCATTCCTTCTGGGGGGTGATGTCTCCCTGTCTCATTGTCTCTCTGTCTCTCCAGCAAGTGTACATGCCCTATAGCAAAAATCTCTCTCTCAAAAGAAGTTACTATTATAAGTGACAGTTTTTTTAAATTTTAGCATAATTAGTTCAGAAATCTGGGTTTCAGACTTTCACTTTATATTTGTAATGAAATTTTGCTTAAGCCAGACATTTTTCGGTATCATACATCATATTTGAAAGTGTTAATGATCACTACAAAAGAAGTTACTTAAATTTCTGAAACTTAGAGGATAAAATGGAGATTGATATTGAAGCAGAAATTACAGCCAGTTTTCAGTGTTTTTGTTTAGCAAATGTTAATTGAGCATCTTCTTCAGGGAAAGACATATAACCGGGCTATACTTAACTAGCAAACTTCTATTTTTTTCCCAGAATAATTCTTCTTTTCAATTTTTACTTTTTAAATTGTCATACAGTAAGAATATTTATTATTGGTATACAGTTCTGTGATTTAAAGACATGTATAGGTTCATATAATGACCGCCATGATGAAGAAACAGAACAGTGCTATCACACACAAACCCCTCTTGTGTGATATACCTTCATAATCACAATCTTAACCCATTTCTAATCTCTGAAAAACCACTGATCTGTTCTCTATTACTTTAGTTTGATCTTTTTAATAATACTATAAAATGATAATATGGCATTCATATAGGATATAACTTTTGAGACTGGCTTTTCTGCTCAACAAAGGGAGATCTAAGTTATAGCATCTATCTATGTTTTCTTTTTTTTTTCTCTTTTATTGCTCAGTAGTGTTCGGTTGTATGAATAAACAACAGTTCATCCATCAGCTGTTGAAGGGCAGGTGGGCTATACTAGGTTTTGGCAATTATGAATAGAGCTGTTGTTAACCTTCATGTACATTTTGTGTGTGTGTGAACTGAAATTTTCATTTCTCTAGGGTAAATATCCAGGAGTGGGATTGCTGGATCATATGGTAAGTGCATATTTAACTATATAAGAAACTATATAAGTCACAGTTTTCCAGAATGGCTGTACTATCTTGTATTCCAAGCAGCAGGGTATAAAAGTTCCATTTTCTCTGCATCCTTGAAAGCAAGCATCTATCATTCGAATATTTTTTATTTAGTAATTCAAAGAGATATGTAGTAATATCACATTGTGGCTGTGATTTGCTTTTTCTAATGATATTGAACATTTTTCCATGTACATATTTTTTATTTGTGTGTGTTTTAGTGAAGCATCTGTTAGGATCTTTTGCTCCTTTTTTTTTTTAAGAATTGTTTTATTTAACTTTATATATTTTTAAAATTGTATTTATTTATTTATTTATTTATTTATTTTTAAGCTGATGAGCGAGGGGAGAGAGAGAAAGAGAGAGAGAAAGTGAGAAAGCAAGCAACTAGGTTCAGGACTTGTGCCACGGTTGACCATGTGGGAGTCCAGCACCCTTTAACCATCACACCACCTGACAGCCCCACTCACTTTTTACTTAAGTTATTTCTTATTGAGTTTTGGGAGTTCTTTATTTTAAATACAAGTCTTTCATCAAATATATGACTTGTAAATATTTTATCCAATTCTATAACATTTCTTTTTATTTTCTTAATTTTTTTTTGGAGAGGTATTTTTTGTTTTCGCTATAGGGTGCGTGTGCTTGCCAGACAGACAGAGAGAGACATAGAGACAGAAAGCGAGAAATCACCCCCCAGGGGTGATGGTCACGCCGCAGTCCCTTCTCCTCCATTCTCCTCTCGGGATCTTGGGCACGCATGCACACGCGCCTGGCGTGAGTTTAAGCCACCGAGTCCGGGATGCAAACCGCAGTCAACTACGTGGGAGTCCAGCGACATAGCCATTACACTAACTTTTGGGTCCCTATTTTCTTAATTTCTTTTTCCTGCAGAGCAAACATGGTTAATTTTAATGCAATCTAATTTCTCAAAAATACTTTATCGGCTCATACTTTTGCTATCATATCTTAGCATTCTGCCTCAACCTAAGTTATGAAGACTTTCTCCTACAGTTTCTTCTAAATGTTTTATGTTTTACATTGAGAATTATGGTTCATTTTAACTAATTTTTAAAATAAGTATGACATTTTTATTGTGTGAATTTAAAGCTATATTTTTTTAATCAAGGTTCATTATTTTGCATAGAGATGCTCAATTGTTCCAGCTCCATTTGTTGAAAACACTGTTCTTATCTCATTAAAATACTTTGGTAGCTTTGTAAAATATTACTTTGCTGTCTATTTTTGGCTTTTCTCTTCTGTTCAGATCATAATTTTGTCTATCCTTTTGCCAGATGTTTTTCTTGTTTATTATAATAGTAAGTCATAAAACAGGCCACTGTGAATCCTTCAACTTTGTACTTTTTTAAAAATTGTTTTACTATTCTAGTTTCTTTGACTTTCCACATAAAGTTTATAATCATCCTGTTTAAAAAAGATTCAGTTGGGATTTTTATTGGAATTGTGTTAAATATACAGAACAGTCTGGGGAGAATTGAAATCTCTACTACATTGATTTTTCTTTAATTCTTGTTTTTCATATGCCAAGTCAAAGTATATCTTTCCTTTATTTAGGTCTCTGATTTCTTTCATCGGTATTTTGCAGTTTTCAGCATTCAGAATATGTTCATGTTTAGTTAGATTTATACTTAAGTATTTCTTATTTTGGGTAGGTGTTCTTATTTTTACAAGTTTTAAATTTACAGTTGTACACTGCTAGTATTAAAAAAAACTTTTGATTTTGTATCTTGTGATGCTGGGAACACAGGACTTTAACATCTTTTATCAGATTTATCTCTAAGCATAGTTACGCATTGCTTAACGATGAGGGTCCATTCTGAGAAACACATGATCAGATGATGTCATCATTGGGCGATTACCAAGTATGTTTCATAAACCTAGATGGCATAGCTTACTATACTCCTAGGCTATATCATATAGTCTGTTGCTCCTAGGCTTACAAACAGGTCTTGCATGAATATTGTAGACAATTGTAACACAATGGTAAGAACTGGTGAATCTAAATATATCTAAACCTAGAAAAGCTACAGTAAAACATAGTATAAATAATTTTTAAAAGGAGAGGGCAGCCATATGGCCCCTTGCTTAAGGGAGCTGAATCCTGCATGGCCAACCATAGTTAAAATCCCAGCCTCAGCAACTTCAAAAATATGCCGAGCATGTGTCCCCACATGTTGCAAATTCTAACAGGAAAAAGAAGAGGAGGAGAAGGGATTGTGGTGTGACCACACCACACTGGTTGCTTTCTCCCTCTCTCTCTCTGTTTCTCTGTCTCTCTCTGGTGAGTACGTGTGCCCTCCAGCAATTAAAAAAAATAGAAACTAGTTTTTCATTTCCTTGACTTGTCCCATGGGAAGGTCCACGGTGAACAAAACAACAGATTAAATTAAGCACAGAATAAAATGATGTAATCAAGAGAAGCAGTAAACATGAGATATATGAGTTTGCTTCCAGAATAAGATGGCATTCTTTGTAAAGTAAACTTTTTAAATAATAAGGAGTAGATTCAGACAAGAAGCCATTTTACAGCTGAGGTGTGTCCTGTTGTATTCAGGGAAGTCATGCTCTAAACCCACCTCCTAGACTCCCAAAATATTTAGACAAGCACTGTGGAGAAGAGATTTTTGTCTCAGAATGACCAGAAACAACCACAGAGGTACAAGAAACATGAGAAACCAAGAAAATGTCTCTCCTGTAAGGGAAAAGAACAATACCTCATCATCTACAAACAGTGCAGTAGAATTTTTGGAAATGTCTGATAAAGACTTCAGAATATTCATATTGACAAAACTAAACAAGATGCAAGAGCTGAGAGCTAATGAACTCCAGAAGATGCAGGAGAAAAGAAACAACGAGTTCCAGGAAGTGTTGAAGTTCTTTCATGATCTGAAAGAGGAAATACACACCATGAAAAAGAATCAAATGGAGCTAGTAGAGATGAAGGCTGCCCTTCAGGAAATCAAAACCTCCCTTGAAACTATTAAAAGCAGATTAATCCATGCAGAAAATCGAATCTTGTATGTTGAAGGTAAAACCTCTGATCTAGTAAAAAGAACCCCCAAAACTGAGAAAATAATGCAAAAAAAAATGAGACTACGAGAAATACTAGACAGCATGAAGCACCCAAACATTCAGATAAGTGGTATCCCAGAAGGTGAAGACACTAATAAGGACATTGATAATCTATCTATTCCATGAAATCTTGGAAGAAAACTTCCCAAATCTAAAAAGGCATTCAAATATCCAGACCCAAGATATACAAAAGACCCCTAAGAGAATCAACCCAAGAAGATCTTCTCCAAGGCACATCATAGCCAGACTGGTCAAATCTACAGACAAAGACAAGATACTAAAATTGGCAAGAGAGAAACTTCAAGTTACTTATAAAGGTTATCCTACTAGGCTAACTTCACACCTCTCATCAGAAACAATGCAAGCAAGGAAAGAATGGGAAAACATTCAGAGTGTTAAATGAAAAACAGTTTCCACCAAGAATACTATACCCAGCAAGATTATCTTTCATATGAAAAGAAAGAATAAAAATATTTTCAGGTAAACAAGACTTGAAAGAATTTGCCAGTAGCAGACCCACTCTTCAAGAAATTCTGAAAGGAGTGCTTGACCAGTGAAACTAAAGACACATACAGAAATAAGAGAACAAAAGGCAACCAAGAAAATCACCAATTTAATGCTAGGGACAAGAAATATCAATAACAACATTGAATGTTAATTCCCAGGATTTAAAAAAAATTGGATGGAAAGATTGGACCACAGCAACACTGCATATTCAACAGAAGAGAGTTTGAACATAAAACTGAATTGGCAAAATAGAATTTTATGACTTTTGAGCAAAACATTACTGATTTTTTTTTACTATGCTTTGTTTTTCCAATTTAAACAGTTTACTTTCTTTTCAGTCATTGATAGGTTTAGCGATATGTTAAAATATTTTTCTTGTTTGTTTCTTTAAATGAAAACATAAACTTTTCTTCCTTTTTGATCCCTCTGAAATTGGAAAATATTTGAGAATATTCTTATTCTGTGGGAGAAGGGTTATTTTCATAAGTTCAATAATGCTTGTTGCATTGATTCAGAAATCGGAAATACTCATTATTGGACAGGGCTTTGAGTGGAATGTCATATCTGAAGATTAATTAGAAAACTATGGAACTAAGGTGGATCCCAAGTAAGCCAACAGAAGCTCTTAGAAAGATGGCTTGGTACCATAAATAGTCCTGCCTGGCAGAGAGGATTAGAGAAGATATATGAAAGAATTTATAACATAAAATAATCTGGACTTTTCCAGTCCAGCATTGTAATCAGTAGAGATTGCAAAAGAGAAACCACACCAGAGAATTATCTTGAGAAAGACTTTGAAGGAAGAAAAAGAGACTGATACTTTCTAGCAGATGGTATATCACAGAATACACTTGGGCAAAACTGAATTGAGAAGGTTTATGTGTGTCTAGTGTGCTGGGCATTTGCTTTTCAACAATTTGAGTAGTTGATATGTATTTTCTCAAAAATATTTAAAACTATACTGTTTCTGTTGTTACAGAGTCACAAACAAAATTATAAGAAATATTTTGAAATTTTGAAAGCTGTTTATTAACTTTCAAGAACTCTGGAGTATGAGTTGAAACTTTTTGATATGTAAATGTAGAAAAATGTAAAAAGAAATTAAAATTTAAAAAATGAGTACTCTGAAATAATGATTAAAAAGTATAGTATAGAAAGTATATAAACCAGTAACACTGTTAGCATTATCCAGTATTACATACTGTACATAATTATATGTGCTGTCCTTTTATACAGCTGGACACACAGGTTTACACTAGCATCGCCACAAACACCTGAGTAATCACTGTGCTGTGATATAATGACTACTGTGTTGCCAAGTGGGCTATAATATCTCTACAAAGTGGCAGAAACTTCCCAGTTCC